GAAATGCATGTGCAAACATCCAATGTCAATTGCATTGAAAAAGAATTTTTGTATATGAAAAAAAAAATAATAAAAATTTAAAAGAAAAAAATACAGAAAAAGGGAAAGAAAAAGAAAAAAAGTATGAACACTGACAAACAATTGGAGAATCCTTTCTGTGTGCTGTGTAGCAGCATCCTCTGAACTGAAACATTCACTCCCACAAGGAATGCGGGGTTGTGAATGATAAGGTGCAAACATCCAATGTCAATTGCATTGAAAAAGAATTTTTGTATATGAAAAAAAAAATAATAAAAATTTAAAAGAAAAAAATACAGAAAAAGGGAAAGAAAAAGAAAAAAAGTATGAACACTGACAAACAATTGGAGAATCCTTTCTGTGTGCTGTGTAGCAGCATCCTCTGAACTGAAACATTCCCTCCCACAAGGAATGCGGGGTTGTGAATGATAATAAGTAAATGACCTCACAAGTTTTGGAAAGCTGAAGGTTACAAGATTCACAAAGCCCTTTCCAAGATTTTCCACCACTGAGCTACCTGCAAGCGATTCTCTGACTGTCCATTTGAGCCCCAGCATTGCAGCTTTTGTGAGTGGTCACCCTGTTTAAGATTAGCCCTTTTAGTAATTCAGCTGCCTTTGATTTACCCAAAGTAACCCCTCATTACAACCCTGTAAGTGAACCCCAATTAACTCATTGGTTTGTCAACTTAAAAAAAATGTGAGGCTGGACAGATAGCTCAGTGGTTAAGAGCACTGGCTGCTCTTGCAGAGGACCTAGGTTTGGTTTCCAGTACCTACATGGTGGCTAATAGCCATCTGTAACTTCAGTTCTGGGGGATCCAATGCCCTCTTTTGATCTCCATGGGCATTGCACACACAAACATGTAGACAAAACACTCATGTATAAAAAAATCAAAGGTTTTTTTAATGTGTATGAGAGTTTGTCTGCATATATACACATATTTACTACATGTGTGCCTGGTGCCCATGTAGGCCAGAATAGAGAGTCACACGTCCTGGAGCTGGAGTTACAGAAGGTTGTTAGCCGCAATGTGGGTGCTGGGAATTGATTCCAGGCCCTTTGCAAGTCCTCTGAGCCACCTTTCCAAACCCTCTTTTATCCTCTTTTACATAATAATGCTGCTGCCTTTTAAATTCCATTTCCCTACTCGTTCCTCGGTTCCATTCTTTCATTGTTTTCTTTTTTTTTTTTGTCTTTTTAAGACAGGTCTCAGCTGTAGCCCCAGCTGTCCTGGAACTCACTATGTAGACCAGGGTGGCCTCGAACTCACAGAGATCCACCTGCTTCTGCCTCCTGAGTGCTGGGATTAAAGGCATGCACCGCCATGCCTGGCTTTCTTTCATTGTTTTTAAGCTTTATTAATTCTTTGTAGTTTAATCTATGTTATATTTATCATTTTCTTTTCTGCAGTTTGTGGAATGGTAGTTGTAGTTGATTTATTTTACTTATATTGTTATTTCCGGTTGTTTTTGGTGCTTTTGTCTCACAGCAGTTCATTTTCTCCCCTGAGTGGCACTGAGGAGTGGGCTCTCAAGGGAAGGATGCTCACTGAGAAGACTCTCCTATGAAGAGCGTGCCTCCCAAAAGATGTGCTAATTGCAACACAGAAATACAAAGAAGTAAGGCAACATGTCTCCTTTGAAAGTTCATAACCCTTCAGTAACTGAATCCAAACATATTTTAAATGATTGAAATGGCAAATGATTCAAAAGTCTAGCTTTAAAAATTAATAATGCCCGGTTTGGTGGTGTATGCCTTTAATCCCAGCGCTCAGGAGACAGAGGCAGGTGGCTCTGTGAGATGGAGGCTTGTCGGGTTTACATAGTGTGAGTTCCAGGCCAGCTGTGGTTACAGGGAGATCCTGTCTCAAAAAGGCACACACACACACACACACAAATCAGTAACTGAGGAAACT